CCTGGCTTGGGTATCAATGTGATGTTAGCTTCGTAAAATGATTTGGGGAGAGTTCTGTCTTTCTCAATCACTGGGAATACCGTCAGTAAGATTGGTATCAGCTCCTCCTTAAATGTCTTGTAGCATTCTGCTGGAAAGCCATCTGGACCAGGGTTTTTTTTTGTAGGTAGTTTTCTTATTACGTAGTCAATTTCTTTGATTGTTATTGGTCTATTTAGGGTCTCAATTTCTTCTTGTTTCAACCTAGGCAGGTTGTGTGATGACAGAAAGTCCTCCATTTCCTTAAGGTTTTCAAGTTTGTTTCCATACAAGTGTACATAGTAGTCTCTAATGATCTTTTGTATTTCTTCAGGATCAGATGTGACTTCATCTTTTGTGTTTCTGATTGTGTTTCAAAGTATGTTTGTAAACTTTTTTTATTATAGTAAAATATACGTGATGTAAAATTTACCATTTTGACTATTTTTAAGTGTACATTTCAGTGGCAGTAACAGTAAGTACATTCATATTGTTGTGTCTCAATCATCATTATGCATCTCCAGAACTTTTTCATCAAATTGAAAGTCTGTACCCATTAAACAATAAATCCCCATTCCCTTTCCCTTCATCCCTTAGTAATCACTGTTACTTTATGTCACTATGAAGTAGGCTATTCTAGGTACCTCATTTAAGTGGACTCATACAGTGTTCTTTTGTGTCTGGTTTAGTTCATGTAGCATAATGTTGTTAAGATTCATCCATGTTTAGCACGTATCAGATTTTCCTTTTCAAGATTGAATAATATTCCATTGTGTGTATATCCCACATTTTGTTTTGTCATTTATTCATCAATGGACACTTGGGATTGCTTCCATCTTTTGGCTCTTGTGAATAATGTTGCTATGAACATTGGCGTATACATAGCCAGTTGAGTCCCTACTTTTGGTTGTTTTGGGAGTATTCCCAGAAATGGACTTGCTGTGTCACATGGCAGTTCTGTATTTGATTTTTTGAGGAGCAGCAAAGTGTTTTGCAGTGTTAATATTAGTTAGAGGAAGAGATGGTTTAATACATTTTCATAATGTATTACAAAAATTAGACAGATATTTAACTATAGCACTCTCAGAGCCTTTACTAAAGCACATTGTAATCTCTAAGGTTGGTGGATTATAGCAGGTACCTATAAATATGGGGAAAATTTACCTTCTATAAACACCAATCTTAGAGATTACAATGTGCTTTAGTAAAGACTCTGAGAAGCATTTTGCTGCTTTTGTTTATAGGATTGCTTGTTCTATGGGACACACTGTGAATTACCACTCTAGTCAACACAGATGAGATTGTGCTCTAGACAGGTAAATTGACTTGATCTAAACCCTAGCTAGTTAGGGACAGATTGAATCCAAGAATTTTATTCTTCTGACTGTGGATTGAGTGCTTTAGGCATCTGTGAGTCCCTGAGTTCAGTGACTGGCACACTCAGTTGAATAGTATCACTTATACCACACTGCTTCTGATGCAGATTTTATGACTAGTTTGTGGCAAAACATATCTGGAACCTTGATCTCTTAATTTCCATGTATCTTGGTTGTGTTTGATTACCTGACTGTACTAATTTTTTTGTGCTATATTATTCTGTAGGTTTTGGGCTCTTTTATCGTGTGACAGTATCTGTGTGCCAGTGAGTGACAGGGTGATTGTGAGGGTCCCTTTAGCTATTGAAGTTTGCCCAGTGACCATGTAATCTTTCATTTGTACTTAGGCTGACCAACCCTATTTAGGTGAGGATGCTTAGGTACAGTAAAATGATAGGACTTTATACCTATTGTCTTGGAAAAGTGGAATGGATGGGTGAGATATTGTTGCTGTATCCATTTCTAGTTGGTGGACATCTATTTAGTAGCCCAGTCTTCCTAGCAGTGATGTATTCTCCAGGCTCCAGGGTCTTCCCTCGGCTCTTCCATCCTTGAAGTGTTGGCATTAGTATAGATTTTCTCCATTTTTTTGTGGTTAGAGTTCCAGCTAGGTACAGATACTCCTCGACTTACAATGGTGGTACATCCTGATTAACCTTTCCTAAGTTGAAAATATCATAAGTTGATAATGCATACATGGGATCCAGTGTGGTGGCTCAAGCCTGTAATTACAGCACTTTGGGAGGCCGAGGCAGAGGATTGCCAAAGTCCAGGGGTTCGAGATCAGCCTGGGCAACTTGATGAGACCTCATCTCTACAATAAATAAATAAATAAAATTAGCCAGGCGTGATGGTGCGTACCTGTGGTTCCAGCTACTTGGAAGGCTGAGATGGAAGGATTGCCTTAGTCCAGCAGGTCGAGGCTGCAGTGGCCGTAAGTGAGACTTCAACTTAAAAAAAAAAAAAGAAAATGCGTATAATACTTACACCTTAACCTACCAAACATTACAGCTTACGCTAGCCTGCCT